AAATTTACAGTTAAATACCGTAATTTCATTAACTGATATAATGTTAATATATCAACCTATTGAAGTACTGAAATCTGTTTTGTACCTTTGTAATACACTGATAACCACCAAATGCAGGTGGTGATGAGAAAGTCACATGATGAACCAAAGCCCATCACAAGCAGCTTTTAAATAATAACATATATAGAAGGTGCACAGTGTCATTCACACAAACACTAAACATCATCATGGTAACACATGAAACTGAAATAATGCAATAACATTAATTTAACAACATTAGGTGTAACACACAACCCTAATATACAAAACTGATAAGAAAAAACTAAGAAGAAACATAGTTATTTCAACAAAAAAACATCAAATTTGAAATGTAACACAGGGAATTCTGGGAATGTCAATTTACGGTTATTCACTGTAAATTATACGGTCTTTTTTACTTCCAAAAACGGTATACTACTGTAAAATCAATGTCCAATACATGTAATGTCCAATACAGTTTTTCACCGTATATAGTAGGGGAATTTACCGTTAAACATTTAACAGGTTTTTACTGTAGCATTTTTACAATCTTTTACCGTTAAATTCATGGTCATTTTTTACAGTGCTCCTAGAAATAACTCAAAATTAGCATGAAGCATCACGTAAATCATGAAAATTAATTTTCTTAGTTTTATGCTCATCAGCTGCAGTGCCGTGCATTTAATGGGAGCCCAACAACAGTTTTGGGGTGCACTTTCCAAATACATCCTTAACCAACTACGGTTGCAAGTTTTATCATTCAATGACTCTGTGTTTCTCAAGACCATCGTTCCAACGAACATTCACAAACTGCATCGCAAAACTGTGTTGTGAGAACCACAGCTCTCAACCTGTGGTTAGAAGCATATAGTTTCTTGACGTGAACTTAGGTACATTCAGCACAATATTTAACTTTTACTGCATAAATATACAAATTGCACTCTATGTCTGGTAAAATGTCAAAAGAATGAAAGCAGCATTTCTAAAGGTTGCGCAGATGTTAATGTGCTCTAGCACCCCGGGGGAACCACGGAATATGGCGTAAGAGGGAACCTGCCTTTTAGATAAACAACATTTGAAAAAGCAAAACAGTGGAGAACAGAAATAGTAGTCCTCATAAACAGTATTTATTTACAGCAATAATCTGACATTAATATGTTCTCAAACCAATTAATTAGCTGAAGTTATTACTCCACCACCTTCACGATATCCTTAATGACAGTCCAACATTATTGAACCAACATGGTTCGAATGACTGATGTGCGAAAGAGTCACTATGGTTTAGGGAAACAGCCGTGACTAGCTTATTTTCCTCAATAAAGCATTGTATAGTAGTTAATCAGCAAGCTACGTTGCTGTATGGGAAATATGCCCCTGATTGGCTTTGTTTTGTGACACATTTTTGGATTCACTGTGGACAGACAAATTACTTGACACTGGAATCTTCTTGTATCTTACATACTTCATCTTACAGTTCAAGAAAAAATATGACTCTGTCAGCATGTTCAGATCTGTATGTAAACATGCTCAAAGGCATCATTGATAAATGGTTAAAGATTTTGCTGCTGCATCACTCCCGTTCACACAGGAACATTAGCAGCTTTCTCCCTCTATCCTCAAAATAATATTACTTCTCCATTAAACCGCACTGTAAGTAGAAATAAAACAATATGGCAGCATAAGAAACAGTCTGTTTCTGCACGTCATTATTATGGCAGTCAATCAATGCTGTATTCTAAATTAATCAATTAAATGTCAATTAGTCACATATCAATATTTGCCGAAAAAACCCCGAAAATAAAGATGAGGAAATGAAAGAGATTACATTATTCTGGCAGACAAATAAAACAGATAGAAAAAAGATGTAGAAGTCAATATATTGTTTGTTTTACTCCTGTATCATTGAACATACGTTCAGCACAGGCCTCACAGTAATCTATTTTACAATCAATTTAGTCAATCTGTTCAAGACTTACAGCAAACAGGACATGTTCTTGTATTCAGCCTCTTGTATTCACCTTTGGCTGTTCTATTGTGTTTTATCATTATCAGTATCTAGCGACGTGAGTTAAGACACTATCAACTAAAAAGTTGTTTAAGCTGCAATTCAGCTAGCTGTTTTTGAACACAAGAATATCTGACCATAGACTCACAAAAACACGAAGGGTGTACTTCAAGCTTGAACTGCTCCAATGGTGGGAAAATCCATTATACAATCTACCTACAGGTCATGGGACATGATTACATGCTGTTGTTTTATTGAATTCTTTTATAACTGCCACTACATTAACGTTAAATTGACAGGCCTAATCATTATGGTTATGTTTATGCATACTGCATGACTTTTAATGTAAATCTCAACTTTGCTCTTGGGTGAAATTGCCTTTGGGAAAACAGTGGAAGAACAGAAGATCTACCGTTTCTGTTGTCAAAGTTTGCCTGCCCTTGACATGTTCACCTGCCTTCGCTCTCTGCTGTCTCTATCGGGGCTCCCACCTTTCACACTGCTTTTCTTGCACTGCACTTTGTTCCTGTCAGTATTGCCTGTGGCTGTTTCTGTACCTGCTTCCACTCTTTCTCTCTTGAAATCAAGCACCGACATTCACTGTTGGGGTAGTCAAGCTAATCTTTTGAAAAAAAAGAGGGAAGTCATGTGATTTAAGCAGTTCACACTGGGAAAGAAGAAATATTATCATTTCAAAACTACACTGTGGCAAATATGATCTCTGGTCATCATCATTAGGTATATATATATATTTTTTTTTGTTTTTTTTGTCATTAATATTTGTTTTATTACTATGAGGAGTTCTGCTTTCTTTTTTTAATGACAGGAAACAGACAATATGTGAGGACAGGGGAAAATATAATAATAATAATAATACAAATAATTTTAAAAGAATTCTGACAATATGATATCATTAATGGTCATTTAATTAACAGTGTATCTTGGTAATGTTAGGAAATGAAATTTACTTTAAGAATCTTTCCCATTAAAAGTAATGTGAAAATCAGAATAAACAGCTTATCAGACTTATTATATGCACTTATGAATATGAACTTCCAGCTGACTGAAGCTGATAACTTTAAACCGGTAGGCTACTTTAAACTGTGCAGTTAGTAATAGCCACGTTCTCCTTGAAGAGTTAATGGTCAGAAATCTTCTGTCAATAATTTCTGGTGCTTACATAAAACATTTAAGACAATTCAGCAGATAGAACTGATACTTTTTTTCTGACAGATTTACAAATCACCTCACGTTCAGCTAAAGCAATTTACCTCTTGAAATTAATAAAGTATCTATATCTCTCTCTGCAGTAAAAATAAAAAAAATGTAAATAAATAAAAATATATCACTTCAGTACCTGATCTTGCTGTTGAGCTGCTTTGGTCGATATATTTGACTCCTTTGCTGTGGTCATTATAACAAATTACCACAGACAGCAAAAAACATTCAGTTTGTGACGAGACCGCTGACGGTTACACAGAGGAGAGAAGGTGCTGAAGTGAAAACGGTAGAAACGCAGCAAAATCCCAGTGAGACGTGAGATTTGATCTCTAGAGTCGTTCTTCAGAGGATTGGTGTGCCACTATTGCTAAATTACACAGAGAAAGAGAGAGAGAGAGAAGTGAAAGAAAATCGGACACAGAGAACACCGATCACTGCCTGGAAACCGACACCGGTAGACTACGAGAGCAGCGCACACGAGCTTTTCTCATCCCCCTTCACGCGCTTGCCGCCTTTTTCACCCCCGCCTCCGTGCACCAAGCGCACACACACGCGCGTGACTGCCGCCGTTTCACCTTCTGCCTGGAGCTAGCAAACGAAAAAAGGTGGTAAGTGTGTGCATACGTGAGTTTTCTTTTTTTCTTTTCCCTGTTCGTATATGACGGTATGTCATTATATTACAGAATTTACATTAATGTATAAGGTTGCACGGACACCGGGTAAATGTATTTTATAGCTGTTCTAGCTATATAATTTGTAAAGTGTATCACAAATATGAAGCAATATGTTTTCATTTCGCAACTGTAATGATCAGCTTATAGTCTTCCACAGTCGCAATGGCCATTATTGAACCTTAACTGATTCTTGTAGATAATCCGTTCAAACTGTGACATTTTGTCTCACTTTTTGATTATTTTTTCCCCACTTCATAACAACATATACTTATGATCTGTGGGTAAACAATGTTTAGAGATAATGTCAAGGGAATTAAACTGATAGGATTCAGTGTGTCCTTAACATTTAACACACATATAGTACAACAGCAGTGACACTCCAAACACTTACAAGTAGCTTTGAAAGTAGCTCAACTGCTTTCATCATGACAATGTAGCTTTTACAGTAACAAGCTACTTTTACAATGATTAGCGGTATAGTGCAACAATTGTTTTTAATGTCAAATTTGTATTACCTTACCGCCGAGCAAGAGATAAAGAACCACAATGTCAGCTCTCTTTAGCACTGGTAAGTCTGATTCATTTGTGAATCGGTTCATCCTAAACAGTCCTCTTTCGCTCATATGTAGGCCGTTTCTCAAACAGAAGGCATCCTCCGGAGGTATCATTTGCAGGCTGCATACGTCATCAAGCCTGGTTTATTTCAGTTAACTGAGCATTATATTTGCGAGTCATAAGCATATTACAACAATTTACACTTAACTAAGAATAATGGTCACATTTATAACGGTTAATATTCTAAAATAAGATCTTCTTTATGACGTATGCAGCCTACAAATGCGACCTCCGGAGGATGCAGCCTTCCGTTTGGGAAAGGTCCTCGTATATAGTTTTTAAAGTTCGATTCATGATAGTGAATTGTCCTAAACATCGCTATCGCTCTCTCTCTCTCTCTCTCTCTCTCTCTCTCTCTCTCTCTCTCTCCCTCTCATGTGTAGCTTTCTAAAGTGTGGTTTATTCTAGAAATTTGGTTTCATCCTAAATGGACCTCTCATAGTATGTAGGCCTATCTTCATTCATTGGAGTGAACTGCTACATTTGGACAGTTCTTGTAAATTACTAGATGACAGAAAGATACACCAATGATTCACAAAAAAAGATTCAAAAATCCCTTTGGCACTCCAGGTCATTCCAGAACTATTTAGTTAATCAGTATGTCTGATTGTATAAACATGCTTCATTTATTTGTGTAAAACAGTTACAGTTTCAATGTAGCTTTGAAAGGAGAATAGGAGAGTTCCATCCTTTTTCACCAAGGTCACTTGAAGATGCATGGAGATTTATTTGTTGTAGTTATTAGGGCTGCATGATATATCAAAATTATCGAAATATTGCAAATGTACATATGCATATTGCAATGGCATGTGATATCTGAATTATTATTTTAATTATAGGCTACTTCTAAATGTTGCAAAAAGTTATGTTTTACGCATATAGCAGAGAATAGACTGGGCACGCAACTGTTACTTATGTGACTTGTTTGACGTTCAAAAGAGTTATTAAGTGCAACAAGTTGCAATAAGTTATAACATGCATTTGAAAAAGCAACACGCCTCAAACATCTTTCAATCATGAGAAGCATTTATGAACCTCTTGTCCAACAAAAGACAACATTTAATGTTTTTACCCCAAACTCACTTCATAACGTCAGTTGAGTGTTTGAAATAAAATTCTTCTGTGAGATGATGTGGTATAACAAAATAAGGTACGCAACATATTATTTCATAGTATTCTATGCAGTGATAAAGGCTATGTCAATTAGCATTGCATTATAAATATACTTTATTATAATGAAAATTATAATAAGAAGAACTCAGATAAACCATATATCGCCATAGTCGTGTGTTTATTAGTCACGTTGAATCAATGAAAGCAGTTCAATCTTCTGTTTATTCAGCTGCAGAGATAGGGATTTCCTGGAACGAATTGCCAGTTTTGCCAGATTGGAAATGTCCAAGTATCGTACGAGAAGCTCAAAATTATCGTATTTGGAAGAAAATTATCGTACACGAGTCAAACGTACAGAATACAGCTATTTATCTAAACCAGATTTATCTAAGAAGCCCTATGACTCTGACAGAAGAGACAGGCCCTAAGACAGAATGTGAAACATATACATTGGTTATATAATTTTTAGTTTTTAAATATGTTTAAATATAATTTAAATTGATTTCACACACTTAAAGCAATATTGTATCGCATATCGGATATCACATTATTTAACAAGGTATTGCATATCGCATTTTTCTTCAATATCACATAGCCCTAGTAGTTATGGTCGAAAGTTAGATAATAGTATGTCAATGGTTTGTCAGTCTTCACTTGTCTATTGGCCTGGCCAGCCATATTGGCCAGCAAAATGTTGAATCCCTTATAAGCAAACCAGTTTGTGCTAAACTGTTCTACAGCCTTATATGTGATTTTTAGACTTTTATTATGAATTAGCCAAATTCAGTTCACAAATCAGTCTGAATGATTCAACCTGTCTGAATTCAAATGATATTTTAATATTCTTATCTCAAATGATTGGAAAGGTAATTGAAAAGTTATGCAAGTTGGTCATAAATTGTGGGAAAACTGAATGCAGAAATAAGACCATTTACCAAAATCAAGAATGCAATAACGTGTCTAAAGATTCCCGTATACTAAAATGTCTTGCTTATCTTGTGATTCTGACCAGACACATCATCAAATACCTTGTCCAATTTTAAATTCTTCATAAAACTAATACGATCCATTTTCAGGGATAAAAACTGACCAGGCAAACGTTTCAGGTCTAACCAATATTGTTCAATTCAGAACAATCCAGTTGGTACGCCATTCTAAATGTTAATTAATTCTCTTTTATTTCTCCTCAAGGTCTCTGCTGTTCTGCTTTTTGAACATGCTTTGCCTTCTCTGTTAATTAAGGGCAAGGCAAAGTGTGTTCTTTTCACCAGGCAAATTATTCTGGAATCCCCAAAGGCATCTGATCATCAGAGGTCATGTGATTCCAAAACCAAAACTCACGGCGTGGATATGCTTATGTCCTTCAAGCGTGGAGCTGTGGGCTCAGGAACGTGCAGCAAAACAGTAGTACCATTCGGCGCTGTCTCTTAATGAATACGCATAAGGCGCTTTATCATTATCCCCCGCCAGCAAAAGACAAGAGAGAAGCCCGTATGTGCCCAGCCGCATGCTGAGCAACACAAACTCCACAGTCCGTCCATCAGCATTAAGAAGGGGCTGGTACTCAACACGTATTGTGATTTCAATAGCAGGGAGTTCAATGTCAACACACTGTCCCTCTCAACATATGTTATTCAAATGTTGCTCGAGAGGAAAAGGACACATTATTTTGTCATTTGAGATGAGCGGCTTGCAGCGTGTGAAGCTGAGCAGGCTGATCAACCCCCCCATGAGCTCACATTCCCTGTGCCAAAAATCAACAGTTTTGCCATCCAAGTTCTGCTCTACTACTTATCCTTCAAATCAACTTTTATTTTTCATCAGCCCTGTGATGGATGAAATGAAAGATCTCTTCTCGGCAAATCAATCACCTCCAAGCTAATGGCATTTGTTTTGGTCAAAGTTGCCAGCAGCATGCACTTGCTGAAGGATACAGCCACTCTGCTAGCCACATAATAGATGTTATTACGCTGCGGTAGGGCCTGGGCAGTGTATACACAGCCTTATTGGTAATACTGACAAATAACTATTCAGAAAATGATAGATGACCTTGGTTGGCAGGTCTTTAAATACACATTTTGCAGAGTATTACAGATGAACTGGCTGACAAAGGCAGACAGGATGAAAGTATTCCCTAGCCTAATTACTAAATTCCATTGCCACCCTCAATGGCTTGCACAGTATTAATTAACCCTTTCATCCATGGTATCCACTACAGTGGACGGACCATTAAAGGCCATTTATTCAGTTTGTGATGTTCCATCCAAACCGCCATGGATGATTAATTTTGTTCCTTACTCATAATCTTACATGAATAAAAGTAGTTATCCATACAACTTGCACTATATATTTTTATATATATATATATATATATATATATATATATATATATTTC